GAATGGAGGAGAAAGGATTGTGGCATAGCCATCCCCCCGGGGGGTGATTTCTCACTTTCTGTCTCTATATCTCTCTCTGTCTGGCCAGCACACGTGCCCTACAGCAAAAACCTCTTCAAAAAAAAAGATAATTATGCCTTAAATTCTGTCATATAATAGGACTTCCCTTGAAATAATTCTAAAATTTTAAAATGTGTCTTTAAGAAAGTTTCCAAATCACCCTTTCAATCTATACAATTAAATTAACAAAAACTGTTCATTTATATAGATACACACACATACACACTCCTGATTACTCTGTTAGTCCTCCCAAAAACAGCTCAAGGAGGAAGCAATAAAATAGCCAACAATTCAATAGGGTCAACAGAAAAGACATTTGTAATTATTTAAATTATCCACCTTAAGATAAATGGCAAAAAAGCAAATCTAACCCTTATGTTATCAGTAAGTCAACTAAGTAGCAGAAAATAAAAACACCCAGATCAAACTTTAGAAACAATCACAACTTTAAAATTTTCTATCATTCCTTAAAATGCTACAAAATTAATTTAGAGTGCTCTATTTTGAATGCCATATTCAAAAACCTTACAGTTCAACATAAACTAATAATCATTTCATGCACAGACTTTTTTCTTTTTTTGAGATTTTTTTTTGCTACAGGGTGCGTGCACTCACCAGACAGACAGAGAGAGACAGAGAGACAGAAAGCGAGAAATCACCCCCCAGGGGGGATGGCCACATCGCAATCCCTTCTCCTCCATTCTCCTCTCGGGATCTTGGGCACGCACGCACACGCGCCCGGCGTGAGTTTTAAACCACCGGGTCTGGGACGCGAACCGCGGTCGACTACGTGGGAGTCCAGTGACATAGCCATTATGCTAACTGCTGGTCCCCGTGCAGACTTATTTTTTCAAGGTACTTCAGATCTGGATATGTCAATACTTGCCTGACAATAGCTTTAACAAATAAGCATTTTCCATTGTGTTCCAAACTGTAAGCACAACACTAAATCTGGTTACTAAAACAATAATCATTAAAGAAAAGATGGTGGGGGGAACTTAATTCTAGAATATGAAGTAGTAACAGTAACAATGAAGTGCTGAAGAAGTCAATGTATCATTATCTTAATATTCTTCTGGATAAATCAAGTTAAGCAATAAATAAAATCAAGTCAAAAGAAGGTATACATGTGACAAGAAAGGCACGATTTTGTTACAGATAGGCAATATATCAATATGTGGCTGTACAACCTCAATACAGTATGTTGATAGCCTTCTTTTATTCTTCACCTCTTCATATGTATTTATATTCCTTTTTTTCATACTCAAGTACATCTGAAGTTTGAGTATCAATATATAATTTAACTTGACAGGTAAATCAAGATTATAAAATGTATTAATACTTTGTCCTAAATTTCAGTTGAAAACATGTAGCTAAATCAAAGTCTACAGTGTGGGACCAGCAGTTAGTCTAATGGCTATGTTGCTAGACTCCCATGTAGTCCACCACGGTTGGAGTCCTGGACCAGGTGGCTTAAACTCACGCTGGGCACGTGTTCGTGCGTGCCCAAGATCCTAAGAGGACAATGGAGGAGAAGGGATTGCTGCATGACCATCCCCCACCCCCACCCCAGGGGTGATTTCTTGCTTTCTGTCTCTGTGTCTCTGTCTTTCTGGCAAGCACACACGCCCTATAGCAAAAACCTCTCAGCACACATGCCCTGTAGCAAAAAAACAAAGACTACAGTGTAAATACGTTGTATCAGCTCTCTGAAAAATACCTACCAAGAAAAAATATCCCATCTCTCTCACAATGAAGTCACTCAAAATCAGAGGTTGGATGTGAAATAATTTTAATCAGCAACTGATGAACCTAGCAATCAAACACTGATCACTCAGTTCTCTACCACTACACTTCTTTTCCTTCTATTCAAATTCTCATTCATTCCTGCCCCATCTTTCTTTACAAAGAAATACATAGAAAACAGACATTTGACTTAAAAGAAGACTATGAGATCAAAAATATCCTTAGAAACTTTGGATCACAGTATGGAAAAACAAAAACCTAAGCACACTATGAAGATTAAATAAAAACAAAAAGGTATATTACTTATCTGTAGATAATGTTCAAACAATATAAGAATTATCTGTGTATATAAAAATTAACAATGTATAAAGAAATATTTTTAAAAAGTAAAAAATAAAAGGTTAAAATTGAATATATGGGAAGATACACAAATGTATTAACAATTTTTGCAAAGTAACTTGTTAAAAGCTAAGAGCTAAGCCTCACTAAGAATGAAAAAAAAAAGAGCTACTTAAAATCAATTAGGAGTTACTCAGTTATTCTCATCTATTAATGCCACAAAAAGGTTACAAACTACAAAAAAAAATCCTCACTCTTACCTAGAAAGTGACCTTAACTATTGAATGGTTAGTACAGCCGTCAGAGAGCAATCTTGCAATATAGGACAAGGGCTAGAATACTGATGAGTCCCTTTGCCCTGAAAATTTTAGGGAATAAAGCCCAGGAAAATAACTTTGGGAGGGGTTGGGGAGAGAACAGAAGAAAAAAGCAGAGAAAGACCACCTAACTATGTGAAGATATTAATGAAAAACTGGAAGTAACTCAGATGCTCTACAAAAAGTAGAGTTTGAATTGTAGCATCTTAAATACAAACGAATTTTCTTACCATTAAAATAATGATTATTAGAGTTTGAATTGTAGCATCTTAAATACAAACGGATTTTTTTCTTACCATTAAAATGATGATTATTGAAATGCACAAGTATATGTAAAACAATTAAGAAAAACTTGCTTTTTCACTTTCCCTTTCTCTCTCTCTGTCTCTTTCTGGTCAAATTAAAAAAAATAATAATGAGGCCAGCAGGTGGCATGGTGGTTAAGGGTGCTGGACTCCGACATGGCCAACCACAGCTCCAATCCTGGACCTGGCAGCTTTTTTTTCCTCTCTCTCTCTCTCCCTCTCTCTCTCTCCCTCCCTCCCTCCCTCGCTCACTTGCTCTATTTCTCTCTGGTAAAATTTAAACAAATAAATAAAGTTAAATAAATTCTACAAAAAATAATAATAACAAATAAAATTAAATAATTCTTTGAAAAAAAATAGCCTATCTTCAAAACTGTATCAGTCATTGTGTTAAAACACATATTGGTAGTCTTTGTTTTTGCCTTTTTTGGGAGGAATATTTAAGTCTAATAAAAATTCTTTTCTCTCTGGTAAAATTTAAACAAATAAATAAAGTTAAATAAATTCTACAAAAAATAATAATAACAAATAAAATTAAATAATTCTTTGAAAAAAAATAGCCTATCTTCAAAACTGTATCAGTCATTGTGTTAAAACACATATTGGTAGTCTTTGTTTTTGCCTTTTTTGGGAGGAATATTTAAGTCTAATAAAAATTCTGACTACAGGGAACCAGCAGTTAGCATAATGGCTATGTCACTGGATTCCCACGTAGTCAACCGCAGTTCACGTCCCGGACCCAGTGGCTTAAACGCCCGCGCGTGTGCGTGCATGCCCAAGATCCCGAGAGGAGAATGGAGGAGAAGGGATTGCAGCGTGACCATCCCCCCTGGGGGTGATTTCTTGCTTTCTGTCTCTCTGTCTCTGTCTGTCTGGCGAGCGCAGGCACCCTATAGCAAAAACCTCTCCAAAAAAAAAAAAAATTCTGACTACAAATTAAATAACCGGTAATCAACGCAGTTTTTTCAAAAACAATTTTATCTATTGGAGAAAGTATTACTGTTAATACAGATGATCTAGTTTACCCTTATCATAATTATTATATTAATGATATTTGCAAGATACAAGAAAAAAACTTGGTAGAGTCTATACTCATTAATCTGGCCTCACTACTGATATAATAAAAATATCAAAACAAATACCAAAGCAATTTAAAGCCTTGTTGCATACAAAATCGTTTCATATAAGTTTAGTCTACCATACTCCTCCAACTTTTAAGTTCATCCACTTTTCCTCCCCTTAGATCTTATTTGAAAGAAAGAGAGCTGAATTTAGGTTGTAGTAACATCACCCCTTTCTCCTTTCATTACCCTCCAATTCACTGTGCCAGTGGCCCCAAAATTAAAACAATCAAATTTTTCTGTGAGTCAAGGCAGAACACAAGGTGCATTTATATTATGAATTATATCTGCAGGAGAAACAACCCAATCAATCTAACAGCTTTGGTCCTTTACTAAAGTATATTCTATTTTAAAATATGCCCATTCTTGTTTCCTTGTAAACCCCAAATCGTGTTTCGCCAATTCACAAAAAGGCCATAATCCATAGTTTCTATTTAGTTAAAATCCATCTGTACAAATGTGACTTGCAGATTATTTAATGAGCTATTCTCTAAGATTTGAAATATACAAGGATTATGTTTTTATTCGGTAGTCCATGATCTAAAACTAGCAAATTTTGGAATTAACTCGATGCTCCTTATTATTTTTAATTGTGTGGTTTTTCACATTCTCAGGTCGTCGGCTCCCCTCCTGAGCCCCTTCCCCCCACCCCTAAAAAATAGACCAAGCCTGGCCTCAGTTCCCGTATTTCAAGTCTGGACCAACCAGAAACCAGTTTTCTTCCACTAATCCGGAACTCCGAGCTGTTACCAACGCTGTCATTGGCCAGCGTCAGTCCTTGGTACGTGCCCCAAGATAACCCCCTGGTTTCTCTCCCTTTTCCCCCTACAATGGGCCTTGGTGTTTGTAACATATTCATAATCTAACAACACAGCACCTCTGATAAGCAACTCACATTCATCAAAGTTTTCTGTGGAAACAAGCGAGGCCAAGGGGAGGGCAAGGTACCCTTGTTCGGACTCGCCGGGAGGGGGGAAGGGGCAGCCGTTCTTCGGATCCGCACAGAGCTCTGGAGCCCTGTTGGCTGAGGGCTCCGGAGCGGGTTGGGGGTACAAGGTGGGGAGAGAGTGGAGAAAGAGTTGGGTTAAGTTGAAATGAAAAAGTTTACTTACCAGATCCTCGAAGCTTCTGCGGTGCTCTTTCCCCTCCCAGTCTAAGCGGCGCGGAATCAGCTGGGGGCCAGAGGAAAAGAAAGGGGTGGGGAGTGGCAAAAGATGAAGGCAGAGCCTCCCTTCCCAATCAACCGACCCAGGCTGGGTTCTGCTCCTCTTTGGCGTCTTTATTTCTCTTGGCCCAATAGCTATTGCCTCAGCTAGACGAGGGAGTTGGGGGGGGGGGAGGCCAAGGAGGAGGAAATCCTGAAAAACTGCCTCCCACGAGAATAAAGACGGGGCGAGTTAAGACCCCGGCGTTGTCTTTGCCTTTTGAGGGAAGAAGCCGGCTCACCCCGGTGACAACAGCTATGGGTGCCCAGAAAGAAGCCTCCTTCCCAGCCCTTGCCCTTCGCCCCTGACTTGCCCTCCCCTTCCTCCAGTCTCACCCCAGCCCTCCCCACCCCTTCCCGAAGGGGCTCCGTACCTGATGCTCCTCCAGCTCCTGCACTAGCACCTAAGCAAAAGGGAAACACGGATGTGAAGAGCAGCTCGGGCCATCAACCCATTCGAACCACCCCACTTCGAACCCAGCCGCTGACGGTAGGACTAGTCAGGGCCGGCCTTTTCCTCACTCTCAACGGAACCGTTCGTCCCACAGCCTCGATTTCACCACTGGGACCATTCCCCACGACTCTCAGATCTCCTCACCTGAGCGGATTTGTTGCAGGGTCCGGACTGCAAGAACCTAGCGATCAGGTAATACAGCTCTGAGGAAGAGGGGGGAAGAGAGAGGTTGAGAGGGGAGGCAAGGCAGAGAAATAGAAGCTTT